TAGACCATTATTTTAAAATCCTAATATATGGTCTGAAAATGAAATTTTCTAAAACCCGTAGACTGAAAAAGATAGTCCAAGTACGAGTTACAGCAAGAGACCAGGCCAATTTCCAAATTTGCTCGGCTACATTTATTTTTTGGTTTTTCTTATGGACTGCTTCTATTGCTGATAGGTTCCAAGTAGTTCAATGGACATTCTATTTCATGGTATTATCAAAGTCAGGCACAATATCTTAATACAAATTAACATCTGGGAAGCTTGACCGTCAGCATATCTTTTGCAAGCTTGTGCTCTTTCACCCTTGTCTGCATTTCACAAAAAAACACAGTTTTTAGTTTTTGGCTGTCAATTTAAAAACTTTATCTATGTGGTGATTATGATATCTTTTTGGAGTTTACAGCTTATTACAGACGTGAACATTGCTGTTGCAGTTGAAGCAATCCAAGCAACTGGAAATCTTGCCAGTGGTTTGAGAACCCATTTCTCTGGAAATTCTCGCTTCTTATTGCCCGTATTGCTGGTTAGTATAGACACCAATCTCACTCTCATATTCAGCTTGCACAATTGATTTTGGGACTTAAAGTTTATGCCTTTAATCCATTGATTATGTCATCCATGACTAGGAAAAATTAGAAAGGTGTATCCACAGAGCATTTTTTTTAACTGTAACTTTCCCTGCAACTATATCAATGAGATCTTGGACTCGAGCCGAATTGAAGCCCACTTACTCTGCCGCTCTAATGTCTTAATAGGTTTTGAGGTTCAAAAAGATCCAGAAGCGCTAGATTTGGGCTAAACTCATTTTGACGCAAACCTTTTAGAGGGCTTATTAGATTGCACAATAGACGGCAATGGTTATGTGAAAATCATGCAGGGGAATTACACCATTACGGTCTTTGTAATGAAAAATTAGCTGTATTTTAATATATTACAATAACACAACAATCACTACTTTGAAAAATACCTAATTATGAGAATCCCACAAACTCCGGATATAATAATTCTAGGAATAGATATATATGGGGTTGCTTATTGTTTCGCAAATATTCGCCCGTTTCAAATTTTTTTTCCAAGAAGGGTATAGCAGAATTTTAACTGCATTATATCACATTGACTGGAATGTAAATTAACATAACACATTTCAGTGAAAATTTGGTAGTAGATTATGTTTATGTAATGCGTGCGGTTTTGAAATTTTTTAATGAGATCAAGTTTCATAAATGGCTCTTGTTGATATTTGTACAAAATCATGGTTCTGACTTACATCTTGCCAATTTGATTTGTTAGCATAATATACGAGAGGACTGGATTTTTTTTGGTGGTATAAAAGCTTCATCTACCTCTCAACAATATGGTGGAGTCAAACATTCACGATTGATCATTGGCTGATGATCCAACCCTTGATTCTGTTACGAATCAAGTATCATGAAGGATACACTTTTCCGTCTACTGTGACCCTTTTCGATGAAAGATGACAGCCCTGAAAGGAAGAAATATTAGAAACTCACCTACATATGCTAGCCTGAAGCTTTGTGAAACCCATAATTCTGCTATTTATCTGGGCACTGCTTTCTGCATGAATGTACTTATGTCGTGAATTTAATAATGTCTTGCTATCTAATACACACACATATATATACAGGAAAAACTTAAAGAGAAGAAGCCTACTTTAACGGAGGCGCTTACTCAAACTCTTCAGGCGATGCACAAGCGGGGATGCTTAAATCTTGCTGACATTGTTGAAGGCGGGTTTTTGTTTTCAGATATTAGTTTATACCACGTTCATGCAAGTGCTCTTTGGTTTTCTTTGCCATTTTCACTATTTCTCTGGCGTCGCTCTTTGACATTTCGCAAATTTATAATCTTCACTTATTTTCTCTTTTCTTTTTGGTGAACTGTTTCATGCCACTTTATTAATATTTTATCATGATACCCTGTAATTTACTTGGCAATGCTTGCTTGCATTATGACTGCTGTTGGTTTAATTTTGAAAGTAATGATATTTTATGAAATTTGGTCGTCCTATTAGTATGATATGCATTGAAGTACTGTTATTCTAATTAATGGCTATCTGTTGCAAAACTCACCTACATATGCTAGCCTGAAGCTTTGTGAAACCCATAATTCTGCTATTTATCTGGGCACTGCTTTCTGCATGAATGTACTTATGTCGTGAATTTAATAATGTCTTGCTATCTAATACACACACATATATATACAGGAAAAACTTAAAGAGAAGAAGCCTACTTTAATGGAGGCGCTTACTCAAACTCTTCAGGCGATGCACAAGCGGGGATGCTTAAATCTTGCTGACATTGTTGAAGGCGGGTTTTTGTTTTCAGATATTAGTTTATACCACGTTCATGCAAGTGCTCTTTGGCTTTCTTTGCCATTTTCACTATTTCTCTGGCGTCGCTCTTTGACATTTCGCAAATTTATAATCTTCACTTATTTTCTCTTTTCTTTTTGGTGAACTGTTTCATGCCACTTTATTAATATTTTATCATGATACCCTGTAATTTACTTGGCAATGCTTGCTTGCATTATGACTGCTTTTGGTTTAATTTTGAAAGTAATGATATTTTATGAAATTTGGTCGTCCTATTAGTATGATATGCATTGAAGTACTGTTATTCTAATTAATGGCTATCTGTTGCATCTTTATCTCATTTTCAATGAAATTGTGGTCTAAGTTGGCATCAAAGTCAAGATGGTGCTAATATTCGAGTATTTGATTTTTTATTTCTTTTGTACATAACACTAGGAATCTTTGCTGAATATAAAAGTTCTTTTGTCGCGGACGTTAAGACAGCAATAAAAAATAAAGTTCCTCTTGTAAGATCATTGACCTTGAACTGGGTTACTTTTTGTATTGAGACAAGCAACAAGGCTCTAATCCTCAAAGTTCACAAGGAATATGTTCCAATCTGCATGGAGGTTAGTGAATAGACGTGCAGAATATTTGCGCCGCGTATGCGGCCTGTTGTGTATTGGCTTTAATTCTTTCTGATCTCATCCTACTTTTGACAAATTATAGTTGGAATGTCTCTTTTATCAACGTGAAATATGTTGTGGCGGATTCTGAGTATTTCTTGGAATTAAAATCTCCCTGATGCTTTGAAGAAATTTCTGCTTGCTTTTTACTGTTTGTGTCCTTTCCTTTTTGTTTGGAGATATCTTTATAGAATTTTTTGACTCATGCATCCTTTAATTACTGCAATGTGCATTGCTTTTGATGGAAAATTTTGTGGTAGATCAGGTGTCTTAAACAGCATGTCTCTCTGTTACAATAACTTCTTAGTGCGCAAGAGAGATAGATGTAGTGTATAAACTTTCAAAATTAGCCATGTAGATTTGTATCCTGATAGTGATGTTACAGAAGGCACATTTTCCTTCATTCTTAAGCTTGATTTTTTTGCTGCCCCTAAATTGTGCTATAAAATTTTCTTTTGTTATTTTTACCCATGAATTTGAATCTTTGAATTATTTTTTCTTTATTCTTCCCCTTGCCAAGTTCTATGTTGAAAGTCTGTGTGTCTTGCAGTGCTTCAATGGTGGAACACCTGAAGTAAGGGATGCAGCATTTTTAGCTCTGGCTGCCGTAGCCAAAGGTACCCTCACTGGGTTTTCCTTTCCACTGTCAATCCGTCAAGTTGTAGTTCTCATGCAGCGCTGATATTTTATTTTTTGCAATTGTATTTTCCCTTATTTTAGTTGGTTGGAATGAGACCTTTGGAGAAGTCGCTGGAGAAACTTGATGATGTCAGGAAAAAGAAGTTATCGGAAATGATTGGGAGTTCTGGAGGGGGTCAATCCACTGTTACAAGTACAGGTAATTTGAAGTGTTTCTAATCTATCATACTTTAGCTATTACCGTTTTGTTATACTTTCTACCTAGGGGATCTGTTTAACATATTTATTTCTTGTGAAAGCTACAGTCCAATCTTCAGGAAGAGGTATGTCTTGCACAGAGGTAGGTGAATTTTGCAAAAAAAAAATTACTTTTCACAGCATTTTCTGTTTTAGTATTTAAGATTTTAATGGAAAAAGAGGCAACTTACACCAACAGTTGCTTGTGGTGGATTTTTTTTTTTTAACCAAAACGTCAACACAACTCTTGAGCTGATGGGGGTTAGGATGCCCTGACTATAAAATCAAACTTATGAGAACAAGAGGAAGGGAGCATAAACATGACCTTTCAAAAACAGAACAATGCAATATACAAAAGAATGAAATAAATGGAAAGCACGTCTTTCTATACAAAGAAAGCAAGTGAAAAGCAAACTGATGTCCTTTAATACTAGAAAGTCCATATCTATCAATTTGTATAAGGGCATGAAGTCGTGATGGTAGGTCAAGTGGTCCATATTTCTAATAATGGCGCTTGTGGTAGATTGTTTCCTTCGATCTATTTCGAAGCAATTAAATTGACAAATTTCCCTTTGAGATTGTATAGGAATTTTAATTATTTCTATTTTAGACTTTAGATAGTTAACTAAGTGATGCAGGGAGATTAATAAATCTGTGAATAACAAGAAGGGATGGGGGAGGGAAGAGAAGAAGAATACAGAGGAGGGGAAGAGGGGAAAAACGGCTGCAAGCCAAATCTTTAATTAATCAAATTCATCATGCCCAAATAACAATGTAAGATAGGTTTAAATACTGGAAAATAATGCAAAACCTAGGGCCAAGCCCAATACAAAAATCCATAAAATTAAAATAACCTAAATTCCAACTAAAATAATTAAAATTGCTAAAATTAATTAAAATTGGATGTCCTCATCAATTCTCCCGGGGTGGGAGAGAAAACTCGACCCTGTCGAGTGGCTATATCACCATAGGCATCTGTCAATCTCCCAACCATAAGCTGAGTGGCTGGGCAAGCTTCTTCCTGCGTCTGTAGAAATGCGTCAGTGGCGGTCTGAACCTGGTGTCCTCACCAACTCCCCTCGGGTGGACGGGAGGCGATCTGGGCCAAGGAAGATCCTGCTGACTCCGATAAAGCTCTAGCAAATCTGGATCCAAATGCTGTAGTGTCTCCCTGGAGATCCATGCACAATCAGAATCTGGTCGACCAACCCAACGAACAAGGAAGTGCTGAACCTCTCCATCATTAGTGAACACAGTTTCTTCATCTAAAATAGCATCAATTTTATCTGTGTGTGCTGTGAGAGGTGGTAGTGGGTTAGTGTGGGCCAAAGAATTAGGATCAAGGTCCACAAAAGGAGGTAACAGGGGATCATCTGAGGGAATGAAATGGCCTTTATAAGCTACAAGGTCTTCAACATTGAAAGTATGATGGTAACCAATGTGGGATGGAATGTCAACAATATATGCATTTGGACCAACTTGCTTTAAAATTTTAAAAGGACCA